ATAAACGAGTTTATGCATGTTTGTTTTATTTCAGTAGGTGCGTGCTGCTTATGCAATCCTATATAAACAAAGTAATATTTATTTTATTTTCATTTGCGTAATAGATAAGCAGTACTTAAGTAAGCAGTATTTCTCAAAACAAAACAATGTCGGAAGTAAAAAAAAAGAGACAGAAATACCGTGCGGAATATATTAAATTTGGAATCATTGAAAATACCACAAACCCATCGTCGCCTTTGTGCCTTCGATGTCTAAAAACATTTTCGAATGAAGCAATGAAGCCTTCAAGACTGCAAGATCATTTGAATAAAATGCATCCAGATAAGAAAGACAAGAATGTAGCATATTTTCAAGACCTAGAGAAGAAGCATAATACTCAGCCAAGTGTAGTAAAACTCTTTTCGGCGGTTGCTAAGCAAGATGACGACGGACTTCGAGCTTCGTACAATATCTCTTTGTTAATTGCTCTAAAAGGCAAACCACACTACATCGGAGAAGAGTTAATTTTGCCAGCAATACAGGAAGTAATAACTACTGTGCTTCATAAACCGGCCGCAGATACTATCCGAAAAATTCCTTTGAGTAATAATTCTGTGCAAAGACGAATTGACGAAATGGCTGAAAACATTGAAGAATCATTGTGCAATCATCTGCGGACTAGTCAATTCTCATTTCAGCTCGATGAGACCACTTTACCAACTAATGAAGCATTGTTGCTGTCTTACGTGAGGTTTATTAAAGACGAGAAAATATGTGAAGAACTATTGTTTGCTAGAAATTTAGAAACCGATACAAAAGGCGAAACCATATTCAATAATTTGGAAAAGTTTTGTGATGAAAAAGAGAATCCCTTAAAAAATATTATATCAGTTGCTACGGCTATGACAGGGTGCCATAAAGGCTTCATAGCGTACTTAAAAAATAAAATTCCAGTGTCCTTGCTGTACATTGTGTTATTCATAGACAACATTTGGTTGCTAGAAATTTAAGTGAACGACTATTTCAATCACTGCAATATGTCATCAGAGCAGTCAATAAAATCCGTAACAGCTCTTTGAATGATAAATTATTTCATCAGCTTTGTGTTACTAATGACGAAAATTTCAATCGTTTGTTGTTTCATACTGAAGTTCGTTGGCTATCAAGAGGCAATTGTCTGACTTGATTTTACAACTTGTTTGACTCTGTGATAGAGTTCTTGGAAACTAAAGATACGGAATTGCACAACAAACTCATTACATCAAAGAATGATATAGCTTACATGACAGACCTGTATAAATTGTTCAACGACATGAATCTCCAACTGCAAGGCGATGAACTAAATTTAATTAAAACAAAAAATGTCGTTGCTGCCAAACTGCTTCTACACAAAAAGAATATGGGCAGACGTGAGTTTCACAAATTTCCGAATTTATCAGTATCCTGCAGTAACGACGACTTGTTTGCCTACTGCCAACATTTGGAGAACCTCCACATTGACTTCACCGAACGATATCAGGACATTTTGAACTTGGAAATACTGGGTGTTAGATCCGATTTCAAATGTCAACTCAGCAATATCACCTCAGCTTGAAGAAGAAATTATAGAATTGACAACGAACGAGGAAATAACAATCAAGTTCAAAAATGGCTACCAAGAATTTAGGATACAAAAACAGAGCCCACAATTGTATCCTGGATTGTGGTCAATCGTTCAACGATTCTTCATAGCATTCTCATCGTCATATTTGTGTGAACGTGGCTTTAGTGCTGTGACAACGCTACTTATTAAAAGGAGAAATCGTTTGCATGTTACCGAACGTGGTGACTTGCGGCTGTTCTTGAGTAAATTGGAACCTGATATTAACAAACTTATTAAACAGCATCGGATTCATCCTTCACATTAGTTTTTATATTAGAATCGATTATGTTTGTTTTATTTTGAATAAAAGATACTCTGTCTGAATACTATAAAGTTGCGTTTAAATAATCATTCTCATTGACAGGTGTAGCACGTAAGAGTTAACTTGAGACCTGAGCGCCGTTGTGTACTAGCTACTGCGCTCAGGTCTCAAGTTAACTCTTGCTAAATATAGTAAAAGTCTCGTTTAGAATGAATGTTTAATATCCGCTAATATAGCTCCCAATGATTAATTTAATTTGAAGTTATAGTGGTTTTTAAGTAGGTGAAAAAATGGAGGTGCTAAAAAATAATTTTTTCTCAAAGTGGGCAGTAGACAAATTAAGTTTTGGGAACCCCTGCACTAGAGTGTGGTGGGTGACCGTCGAAGGTTTAGAGGATGGAATAGTCTAAGGTCCAAGGTAACGAACGCCTGTGCATTCTTCGATAACCTGTGATTTTTATTTATTAATAGTTTTGGCTTGGATACTAGTCCTCTGAGCCATGTGTTCGTTTAATTATCGGGATCTTCCGTAATATTTGCCATTGTAGTACTAATTTCTAATACATATGTTTTCACTTTCTCTTAAATAACTTAGTTCACTAATTTGGGTTTTTTAAATAGTCTTTTTTATGTTTTACTTTCACTTAAATCACATTATCTTCTATCACTTTGAACAATAGCTTTAAATTCGTAATTAGTGGAATTTTTGGGGCAAAGTCTTTTTTTAAGTTGATTTAAAATAAGGAATATAGTTCTAACTTTCTTCATCACTATTTCTTTCTTCGTTTTTTCTTCATAATATACTCAAAATAAAAATTATCTTTGCAAAAACTGTACTCGTAACTTCAAAAACTCCCACTGTTATGTAGAGGTGGGCGTTTAAACGAAAAGCACTTAAAAAATGTTTGTTTTTTTAATATACTACGTGAAGTGCGTACCACGCTTTTTATTTTAAGCGTAAGCTTTGGTCAGTTCTATACTCAACAATTTAATTTTTTACAACGTGCCTAACTTTCAAGTCCCACCATTTATGATTCACAAATTAATTCGTCAATGTGAATAATAATTTTATAAATAAAAAAAAATTTTTTTTTACAAATAAACTTACTTTTCCTTAAACGTGTAGTGGTCTGCTCTCGCTCTTCTCTATGAACACAACGTTGCAAGCTTTTTTTAACATAAAAGTCTATGCGCTTAAATGTTTTTCTAAACGATTTTTAAGCGTCAAACTATGAAGCGCGCTATTAAAAAGCTACAACGTTAAAACCTTTAAAAAAATATAAAGTTTTTCCCATCTCTACTTTTATGGCGTGCGCCTATGAAACAGTTTATAACATTGGATTCATATAATAATGTGACAGGTTTGCGTTATAAGTAATTATAAATTTACTTTATAATTAGAATATTTATGAACTAGAACAGTTGATTAAATTTAAACTGTTTAATTTCTACCATTGTGTTTTGGTTTTATTGTTAACCTACATAACACAAAACATTACGTCCAATAAAACTGATTACAATCACGTGCCAACCCAGACAGCATTATTTATTACTTGTGAGGAGACACAATTAAAATGTAATGAAAAACAAAAAATTCAAATAACCACTTCACTTACATTTACCCTAGGACAACATTAATGCAATCCCGCGTCTAATGTAGCTATTTACATCGTGTTACATAACTTTCAGACAATAGCGACTAGCTCCCGGGCATTGAGAGCACCTTTGCGCATACGCATGGCGAAATAATTGCCCATTGTTGCAACCCGTGAGAATCTCTAATGGTTGAATTAATTCTCTAAGTTGCTAGCGGGTCATCTTTATTTCGATTTTTGTAGTTGTGTTTTTTAGGTTCTTTGCGTGAAGCACGTAATTGTTTTATGTATTTAGTGGTACTGTTCAATTTTATTGCTAGATTTGTGGTTTTTAGGTTGCTAATAAATATCCTCGGTGCGACCGCGTCCTCCTCCTGTCTCCTCACCTGCCAAAGAAGCACGCATTGGGTCTCCTCTCTCCGCCGGTCAGATTGTGATCTTCAAGTTGCACAGTTACATAATTTATAATTACATTGCGATAGCTAGAATGGCGAGAACAGTATTTTTGTCTTTGCCTTGTAATTCCATTTTTAGCTGTAAGATGGTAACCGATATCGAATGTTTCAGACATTAAAACATACCTGTACATGTGTAATACGAATACTAATAAAAATACATTTTAAATTCCTCTCTCTCCACCTACTACTAATATAAAATATATATGGATAGAATGTACAACAGCCATATTACGCATTTATATACGTTGACTATAGAGATATAACGCACCAATCGTTTTGAAAGATTCTTAGATAAGTAAGTGTTCATTTTCATTGAAATGGTATGCATCTGTAACAAGCTGGTAATTTGCGGTCGGCGACAACTTAAGACGTCTTCGGCTATCGTAGTTTCATACTTTCTAAGGCCACACCGCAGTGACGTAAATGGTTAATTTTAAACAAAAACCACTTGGTTTTACATATGCGTGTGGTCGATTCGTAACCTTTAACATCTTCATAGAGATTATACTCAACCTTTTGCAACTTTCTTCGAGTGAGCGGTACATACTTACGTCCCCGAGAGTCGTCCATACCTACCAACACTTACGTTGATTGTTGAGAATGCTTCAGGATGTGCAAATAACATGAACATATTTTTTTATGTCAAATGCCCACTCTCTAAATAAATTTGAGTACTTGGTATTTTTATAACATACAATAGATTTTCATCACCGCTTTGCGTCCTTCTAACACTTTGTGGTAAACAGGTGGGTGTACAATTTGTGTTCATACACGATGTGGCAATCGACCATAAAATAATTATTTTCTTACATTTGACTGTTTTTATCGGCCGTGCAATAAATGTTGCTCGTTTACGAAATTACGTACAGGTCAACAATGTGTTGAACTTTGTTCTACTGATTTTCCTATTATCGGAACGTCATGATATTGTAGAAATAACTTATTTATGTAATGCGCGTCTTATTTTGTTGTATTAACTTTATGTTTTTAACGACGTTGCCTAACTGTTAAGGTCGGATTGCGGAAGTTCGAGTAGCTGTAAATGAAAGTAAGTAGGGATTACGGTGACAAAATGTATTTATTTTTTGTAAATAAAACATACTTATAATAAAAAATTAAGCTAATCTTAACGATAAACTTTATACAATACAAGTTTTGAGCGCAGCGGCGAGCCACTTCGTCCTTTGTGGACTGGCAAACTCGCCTCGAGGAGCACTACACTGATTGGTAGTGGCGGGATCGGGGCGAGTTTGCCATGACCATTGACGCCTGACTGGCCGCCGCGCTTCGCAACCCGTGTGCGTGCACAGTCGCAAGCGTTGACCGATAGAGGCGGCGAGACAACGGCCGGGTGATCGGCATCACCTACATTGTACGTGGCTGCCGACCAATTTGTATATACATTCGAGCCCACCCGGGGATGTTACGAGCGCGCCCGAATTATTTCGATCATCCGAACGGTGCAGTAATTTGGTTCGGAAGCTATTTGGTTGGAAAATTAGTTTAGAAGGGGGCGCCGTAGCTACCGGAGGGAGTGCGCGCGGGCGCACCATATGAGGAAGAGGGGCCAGAGGGGTAGCCGCCAGAAGAGCCACCGGACTGCTCGAACTGGGCGACCTGGATAGCTTGGCGGACATCTTCTAGGTTGATGCCGACAACACGGCCACCAGAGGGAGGGCCGTAGGAGGAGGAGGGAGCACCGTAGGAGGAGGATGGAGCGCCATAAGAAGAGGATGGAGCACCGCCGCTGTAGCCACCTCCGAAGCCAGATCCAGATGAAGATTGGGATTCTTCTTTGAGAAGGATCTGGCGGACTTGTTCAAGGAGCTGGGGATCGACATTCTGGCCTTCGGAGGTTTGGTGTCCTGAGGACACAGCACGGTAGCCGCCACCGCCGCCGCTCAGGCCTCCGCTGTAGCCACCGCCACCGCCGCCGCTGTATCCGCCACCGCCGCCGCTGTATCCACCGCCGCCGCCGCTGTATCCACCGCCGCCGCCACTGCTGTACCCACCGCCGCCGCCGCCGCCTGACGGGCGGTTGTAGCTGTAACCGGATGGGGGCTCGGCGCTGGCGCACGCCACCAACGCAAGGGCTATGCACTGTTGACAATGAAGGAATTTGTTCAAGCATGATTGTATCAAAACAAGTAATAATTTTCTACAGGTCAAAACAGCTACCTCACTGTTTCTACTTTCCATTCTAATGTTTGTTTGTCAATCCATTCGTAAGTGCATATGTAAATAAAACGCTACCGTTACGTCATGGCTATAGTACATCGTTGTCTTTGCCTCTGTCGTATTTTTATACCTCTTCAATATGTTATATGAAAGTGTAATTCACTATTTTCGACTCAGGTAGGGTTCGTGGTCAAGTTATCGTATTGATAATTGGACGTAGTTAAACAAAAAGGATCCAATGCACGTCCAGTCACTTTCGAGATATGGCAGTTTGAAGTTTAAAAGTGTTCCTCACTCTTGTCTTCTTTTCAAAACTTATTGTATGTCATGTAACTCCAGAGATATTTATTTATATTTATATGTTGGATTTTTTTTGCTTATCTAAGAGGTTAGACTTTAGAAACCTTTTGGTACATATAACTAATTTTTTGATAATTTCGTGGATTGGATCCTTTTTGTTTAAATACGTCCAATTTATTATATTTTAGGTTTTAAACAGTATTTTTTTGAGGTATAACTCTTGTAATCATATGAACTTTGAAGTAAGGCAATGAAAATGTATAAGTAATCCTATTTAGCCCGAAGGCAGAGATTCTCTAGAAATAAATTTTGATACAAACAATTGAACTTAGAGTGAAAGTGAAAGAGCAAAGGTGGGAGGTCAGCAGGAACAAAATGCCGTGGTTGCGTCACAGATGCACCAGCAACGGTGGGAACGTGACACTTTGAATCACCCCTTAGAAACCCATTACATGACTGGCATATATTACAAACTTGTTTTATAAGTAGCATTGGCGACTAAAATGGTTATTCTAACGAAACTGTAAGTGCTCAACCAGTATGAATTAATGAATTAGACATACATTGCTACCTTTATACAATAACCTATATTTTGAACCTAAGCTCACAGCGACGAGTAGAGCAAGCGAAACTTTCTCTTGAATAAAGCACTCATCTTCTTACGTTAAAAGAAGATGGTTGCTTTATGGGTGCTTCGATAAAGTTTCATTTGCTCTACTTGTCACCATGTGCTAGGTTCAAAATCATTGTATTCCATAATACTGCGTCATTGTATAAATGCAGCGACATAATGAAGAAAGAAGATATGTTCCTATTTTGTCGAATGAACCAGTCCACGTTTGTTTACCTAACGATAAGTTACGATGGTCGAGTAATGTAACTTATTATCCGCGCATTAAGTGACCTATGACTGTAATGCAGGAAGACATCTTATGTAATGTTAGTAATAAAATGCGTGAACTGTCTCGTCAAACAGTTAATTTCGTCAGATTGTAATTTGAGGTATGTTACACTGTAATCGCGATTGGTGAAGTAGATATAACGAACATTATATTGATAGAATCGCAAGAAAATAATAAAATAATAGTGAAACAAGACAAGTCTTCGAGTTATTCGTTACTCAAAATAATGTTTTGGAAATAACCCACTTTAATGAATGTGTAGATTTTGTTGCATGGTTGCAATATATTTCGTGATTGCCTTCCGGCATTCAAAAGTCATTTAATACGACGTTTTTAACTATTTTCAACATTATCTCTTTAGTCTTTAATTATGCTTTATTTTGAACCAACTTCAAATAAAAGAGGAGGTTTAGCTATACTTTTTGTGTGTACTATGTTACGTTGTTATCCCGACATTCGTGGACCGATTTCGATGATATTTATTTGTTGGAAAGGGGTTACCTCAGTTGTGGTCCCATTAAAATCTTGAAAAAAATATTTCACCTCTAAGGGTGGCAAATTAGGAGATGAATCCGGGTTATTATATTCAACCCAGTTTCCGTTAACAGATTTGAATAAAACTTGGCAAATAGATGTAATTCCACACATTTTATTACACTACTTCCAACGATTTAATACTTGTTTGTAACATTACTGCTGTTAATCTGTTTTCTGTAATCGGTACTATTAGAATAAAAATAACACGGAGTATCGCAGACAGCTAAATGTTTAATTCTAGTTTATAGTTCAAACGTGTCAAAGAGATAAAGAAGTCTGAAGTGCTGTATCTGTTAATGTACCTGCATTACCTATAAATTTACTCATTATGAAAACGATTTTAAAGGTACCGGACTCCAAAGTAATATTTAAATAATATTGCCATCATCATCATCATCAACTCGGAGTTGAGCAACAAACGTTACAGTTTCAAGCTGAGATTACCTATCAAGTAATCAAGCCTACGCTTCCTTCTTAACTTTCGTCACTCTTTAATCACATGGTTGTAAAATTGCGCGATATGATCCAACGAACTATGGCCCAGGCGTTGCGTCACGAAATTTCTTCCACCGGAACTCACGATTTTACCATTAGAGCTTTAATATCTCTGATTTTACTATTGTTGACTGTGTGCATAATGACATATAATAGGTCTGCATGAACTTTTTTGTTTCTTCTGCAAGCTCGTTAACAATGTCGAATTTTGTTGCAGTAGTATAAGAAGTTTATATGCCATCTGAATTATTTAGTTTTTTTTAAATATTCAAACTAATGGGGTCGTATGTGAATGCGTTTTATAAATTTGGTGATTTACATGTATGCTCTGTTGCTTCATTTGATTATGCTTTTAGATTGTTTCACTGTTCTTTTATCTTAAGATGCACAGTTAAAACTTTTAAGTTGTGCTAAGAATTTAAATTACAAAAAAATATATATACTTGAAATTCTAATTGCAGTAACGTATTCTTTTACCGAAATTGAAATGCGTTTAGAAATTTAAATCGAATGTGTTTAGAATTAGAATCGAGCGATTGCGTTAGAGACCCCACTAGGAATATTGACAGGATTAAATTCTTTGAAGACGGCCGCGTTGAACAGATGGTTAACTAGTAGGAGGTCGTATAAACTAACCTTCGTAAAAGGCCTAAAGCGATAGTTGTTTTCATGATTGCTTTAGATGGGCAGTAAACCACGGTAGACGATAACATAAAATTTATTAGTTGACGAGATCGTAAAGATTGCTACTCAAATGAAGACTTACTTTGTACAAGATAGGGTATATGGAAGGGAGAAACTGGTCGATAGATTTAAAGAGTCCAATTATCAGCCGCGATAAAACTGTATGTTCAAGGAAACTTAAAAAATCCTTAAACTGAAAGGAAGCACTGCCGCAAGCATGGTCGACTGCTTAGAAAATGTACTGAAAGACAAAAGTAAAATAAATGTGAAGAGAGGACAGACGTCTGTCTGTAGCATCATTAGTATTTACCATGCGAATAATAGAAATGACAAATGATAGCTAGCGTGTAACCATTACAGCTATCCATACGTCTGTCACACGATTGTACGAGTAAGAACCATTTTCAGTTTGTGTTCGATACGTTGTTTGATATTATAACAGGTGATTAAATTTTGTTTTTTCTTTATGCGTTGTTGGTTCGCAAAGACGGGCAAATGAGACATTCAATTTGAATAGGGCACAAATTACTATTGAATATTAGAAAATCAAGTGAATGCTGGCAGAAGTTACGAGCATTGAGTTTCTAAAGACTGTCTATAGCAGTTGTACCACGCATGTTGCTTTGGTATTTACAAAGTGATTTAAATGAACTAACACATGTAGCACTGTTTGTTTATGATAGTTATGAGCACAACATATTTAAACATCAATTTGGTTGTACGGTGTAACAAAATTTCAATAGACTGTTGACAATCTCTTTATGTAATATTTAGTTAAATATAAGCAGCGAAGATTTATTATGACATAATCAAATGGTTTAAAACGATAGATACTCAAGTGTCATCGAAACCATTACAGGTATCGGTACGTTGTAATTCTTATATTATTTTTTGTATAATTTTAGTTCTTGATTTTTCAATACTGACTTTTGTGAAGAACTACAATTTGTTATGGAGATACTTTTAGATTTTACTTTTAGATTTACTTTTACGATAATGGTCGTTGTAGGACTGGACATTGCGGGATTTTAAATCATGAAGCAAGGATATTTAGATACAATGGATATTTTAATATACTAAGACCGTGTAAAATTTTTAGATCTCTCTCAGTAGACATTTTTATTTGTAATCTGTAAAAAATCTAGGCAGTTTATGATTCCAGATGTAGGTACGACATAGTTTATATTAAAAATCATGCAGTAAAAGCAAAAATTTCAAAACAAAATGGATTATAATATTTGAGATTTTTGCATTGTATGGTAATGAGACGAATTGTAACACAGAAGATTGGAAGGTATAAGTTGGACAGAAAGGAAAACTATCAAGGAAGCATTGTGAAGAGTGTAGGAAAATAGAAGCTTGTTAAAAACTACAGATAACTGAAAGAGAAAAATGTTTGTGCATTTAACACGTTACGATAGTTTTCTTAGAAGAAGAGAGGCTGCGGAAGACCTAGACGAAGTTACTTGGATCAGATAAGGGAAAACGTTATCGTCTCTTTTAAGTAGATAATTACATATGTTTGGCGATTAGAGCCCACCCCACCGACAAGAGTAAAGCTCTTAAATAAGAAGAAGAAACGACAAAAAAAAATCATTATTTGTAAACGTAAATTGAATGTACGACGGAAAGAAAATAAATACTAAATAAAAAAATCATAATGCCGATTTCACTTGTATAAATTACGCTATTAAAATACTACATCATAATTTTTAGGTTTATAATGAATTCTCAAATAACGTACTTGGTAACTTTTATGGCTGTAAAAGTTTTATGGAGTCGTGTAAAAGTGAGAAGTGGGTCGTAATTCGTAATGTCCTATGTAAATTGCGAATTGTACGGATAAATCGCGTAAGCTCACACTAATCTAAGTAGCCACGTAGTGACCTGTGACCCTACGCACTAATGGCAGATCAACGGTTGCCACACTGCCGGCGAAGGGAAGATGCCTTGCGCAAGTCTTGCCCCATGTTGTTGCTTTAATGTGTAATTTATTGATAATGTAATTGCTTTGAAAATCGTAATATTATTGATGCTGTATGTGTAAATAAGCAAGCATATACCTATTGATTTTATTATTTATCCTTTTACATCTATTGATTTTATTATTAATACTTTTATATCTGCTGATTTTATTGTGTATTTTATGCCTATTTATTTATTGGAAAATGTCATGATGTAGTAATTTTTGCCGACGTTCCACGTGACATTTTCTGGAAACCAAATGCAATTTTGACTATTGGGTGAAACAACGCCTTGTCATTTTTACATTCTTTTTACTATACAGTACTGCTTCAATATGGGTCTGCTAGGGCTATGTAGTTTTTACACCATATCGTGCTAATATTATAAATTACATTTTTCTTAATAAATTTTCCAATCGCAACACTTTTATATAAAACATTTAAGTTTACTGAGTGAATGAATATATTTTCGCTTTATAACCTTACACTATCTGGTTTTTAATTATTATGGAGAGTAATTTGACATATTTTAGGTTAATGTGTCTTGACTTAGAGTCAAATAAACTCTGAAATAAGTTATCTTTTATTATATTAAAAAGTTTTTTGGCTGAACCTATAATAAAACCAATCGATAAATATCCAACTAAAACTTCGAAGTTTCGAATTCGAAGTTTTTAGCGCTGAAAGTTGTTATTCAATGGGTGATCATAGCATGAGCCATTGTTTGGATGAAAGCGTATTCTAATAAGAACCACGATTGATATGAGAAGATTGCGTGATGTAGATTATCCCGTGTGAATTTTACATTTGAAGATACAATAGAATTGATTCTTTAGAATAAAATAGCGGCTGGAAGCGAGAATTTATAGGGTTGATTTTTAATTGCCATCATTTTTGGATATGATCGTATTTATGTAATATAATGTCACCGAAAACAATCTTGGTCGGTCGGTAATTGAGTACTTGGAAATAACAGTTTAATAACTTTGATAAAGTAAGAGATAGAATCGATCAATCCATATCGACAGCGTTCAAAATTGTCCCCCAGGTCGGAAATCAACTGGAAGTGCACGAAATCCAGAAAAAGGACACACTTAAAAATTACACGGATTTTAAAAGTAGGATCCAATTATGCACTTTTGATTTTCGAGCATGTCACAAGCACTTGTAAATATCACTTGGGTACACTACACGGGCACTGGTTGCGGACTCTACTGCGGGCTATTGCGGACTATTTTGCGGACTTACCGCTACGAAGGCTCTCATGATGCTTAGTGATGGGTAACTTCGGGTGGTGGCGAAGTAATGTGATGATGTTGCTCGCCATCACGATATATACCTAAACAGAGGCTGAGAGGGGAGGAGAAAGGACGGCCATTGCACAAGCAAGGGAGATGCTCATCCGAAGAGGAAGTTTTATCTAATTGAGGTGCATCACGCTATTTTTTTTTCGACTGATAAGGTCAATAGGTTGTCAAAGGTAATTTTTGTAAAGACGCGTGCGATTTCTGAACTCAAGAGTTAAAATTTGCATATGTCGAGCATTAACACGTTAATTCGTTTGAATGTAGACTGTAAACAAATGATGTTAGTAATTCTAAACTATTTAAAATTTGAGTTATCACTTAAGATGATTACCAACTTCGTAACGATGTAGAAAGCTAAAGAAAAGTGAAACTTTGTTCCTGGTTAATGTAAAAAGTTGGGGAAATTAAAAAGTGAAAACACATAAATAACAGTGAGTTCAATACACAGTAATGGTAGTTGATTATAACTACAATATTTTTTTAAATATTTCACTAGAATTTCATATTTAAGTGGAATTGTGCCGAATAGCGTTTTCATTGTCATTATTAACACTTTAGTGTTACCTATTTCAGCCGACAAGCCGTAATATTTCTTTTTTATTATCATATCAAGTGACGGGACGAACAAGTCGTGCTCCTGATGGTAAGCTACACGCCTGTCCAGAACAGTTGCAGTGCAACTCAAAGCTTTAAATCGCAAAGACAGCAGAAAGCTGAGGGACACTGCCACTGCGCCCATCACCCTAAGACATGAGTTGACAAGTCCCATGTGCCTGTCATTTCACCAACACCCTTACCCTTCTGAACCGGAGCGCAGTAATGCTCACATTACTGCTTAGCAGCAGAAATAGGTAAGGTGGCAGTACTTCCCTGGACGAACTCTTTCACAAGGAGCTGCTAATAAGAGCATCACTGTTTTCCGGTTTTGAAGGATGGGGGCGCTGGTGAAATTACAGGCACATAGGACTTGTCAACTTATGTCTCAGGGTGACAGGCGCAGCAGTGGCAATACACCTGAGAGCTTTGCGATTTAAAGTTCTAAGTGACACTGCAACTGTATGCTGCAGGCGTGTCGCTTACCACCAGGTGCATGACTTGTTGTCCCATCACTTGATACCACAAAAAAAAAACAATTCTTTCTGCACAAAAACAAAACTTGGTTTACATTTAGTATACCTAGGAGTAAAATTATTTTAGAATTAAAATACACACTTGAACTTGGCTCAACCCACGGCTCTGTTTGAAAGACGTGTGTTTGAATAAATTTATGACACATATCAAAGTTTACGATCGTCTTGACAGAGCAATTTTGTAATCTAAAAGAGACACAAGATATATATCATAATAGACCTAGTGTCATAAATTAGTTAACATATCAATTAATTAGTTATATTTTTATAATTATTAATACAAAGATCAACCTTTAAGAAAAAAATCCTTCGATATGGCTGGATTCGAACCAGCGTCTACCAGCAAACCGTGCCACGGTTGCTAACGCGATGCTAACTAAGCCTTTGTATCAATAATTATAACAAACTAGTGGAGTAATTTTACATAAATAATTGAATATCGTGGTGGTCAAACATATTAACGTTTAATAAACTTAAAAATTATATTTTTCTAATTATTATAACTGATAATAGAAAAAGATAATATATAAATTATTATTTATTAGTATTTTATTATTTTGATTTTGTTTTATTTTTGATTTTAGATTAAATTTTTTTTCCTATGTTTTAATTGTATGTTTTTTAATTTTATTACTGATTTTATTATAGTGTTTTATTATGTAAATGTGGGACTACATTCCTGAAATAAAAATTATTATTATTATAAATAGAAAAACGCCAGAAACGCAAGTAAATCTCGAACGCCGCAGAAAAGTGGCCTGCTTTTCGGTTTTCCATCGGACACATTTCGGACAGTGTGCTCAGGAACTTTTGAATTTCGTTCCAGTTTCGGCCGACGAAAGTCCGGGATACTCCATTCTGATGTCATTGATATACAACCCATTCGCACGAATTGCTTTAATTTCTCCTTCCTAATGCGTACGCTAAGACAACGGAATATACAACCAATAAGTGACGCACAATTTAAGACTATTCAAGGATAAAATGAATAGATATTTTTTAGACAAACGCATACAATCGTCATGGTCATGAGTCAGATCATCGCTCATCTTCAGTTGAGATTGTACCCAAGTGTATATCTATATGTGTATCTATATGTAGCATGTATATATTAAAATGTATGGCAAATTTTTTTGCGAACATTGATATTTCTAGTACTCTTACTTCAGGTAGTCCCATGTAGACTTTTAATCTTTACCAGAAATAGTTTACAAGGTTTCCCTTAATCTTTTGAAAGAGTTCGTCCAGGGAAGTACTGCTACCTTACTTTATTTCCGCCGCCAAGCACTAATGTGACAATTACTGCGTTCCAGTTTTGAAGGGTAAGGGTGCTGTAGGGCTAGTACGACAGCGCGCGACTAACGCGAGAGCGATATAAAGCACGGGATCTCTATGCGAGAATAGTCGCATCTCGCACTTTATGTCGCTCTCGCGCAAGTTATGCCCTGTTGTGCTAGCCCTACTGGTGAAATTACAGGCACATGGAACTTGTCAATTTATGGCTCAGGGTGACGGCCGCAGTGTTTTCCAAAGTAGAAGATATAAGGCCATAATTTTTTTTCAGCTTCTTGTTATACCCTAGCTCCATTATTACACGAGTAACTTATAAAATAAAATAAATAAGTTAAGTAAGTTTATTTCAGACTTGGGTCCATGAAAAAGTATCAATAAACAAAAATAGTATTAAAAAATCGTAAAGGAATGTGTTAGTTCAATACAAAAATGCAAATAAAAAATAAAAATATAATTATAAAAAACTGACCTCAAAAGTTCGTGGAATTACATCTATTTGCCAAGTTTTATTGAAAGTGCGCAAAACTGATTTCATCCCCTAGTATGCCACCCTTGCAGGTGGAATATTTTCTTTAAATAAAAAAATTACAATCGAATTGCGAAACCTCCTCCTTTTTTTGAAGTCGGTTAAAAACAGAACATTCATATCTAATCAAGCAGTTCGTTATTGGATAAAGTGCAGTGACATCTATGGGGTTAACATTAGAGCGGTTCGCAAACATGCTCAGGATGCGGTTATTATAAAAAATGCTGAAATTATATTGTCGACCTCAATTTATAACGCCCAAGTTTACTTCTGAACTTTTTAAAAAAAAAGTACTTAATTAGATTGTGTTTTTTTTTGTGTATGTTATGCTATTACTCTGACACTTGTAAAGCGATTTCGATTTTTCTTTTTTTGTTTGAAAGGGGTTACTTTAGTAGTGGTCCCATACAAATTTGATGAAAATATTCCACCTCTAAGTGTAGCAGATTAGGGGATTAATCCGGTTTACGTGATTTCATCCATTTTCCTTGGCAAACAGATGTAACGAACACACCGAAATCCTTAACTTAACCCTTATCCCCATAAGCAAAACTTTTGAGTTGTTTTTTTTTAAAAAGGTATAATTATAATTTTATTAATTTATAAAATTTTCGAGTTCTTAGGTTTTCGCGATTGTTACACATAGGAAATGAAACTATTTTTCCGGATTTAAATTGTTTTTTCAAACAAATTATAAAATTTTCATGAAATCATTGAAAATCTGAATGTACCAAATTAACACGTCTCATAAAATCTTAGGTAATTTAAAATTTACACAATCATATTACTGTACTGTTAAAGTGTTTCCTCAATTTTGCTACATAACTTATTAGTTAAATGCGTAGTGTTATTAGTTTCTTTATTGGTATAATTATTACTAGTTGAATGAGTATGAAATGAAAAGTGATCTTATATTTCTTTGCCCATTAATTATCCGAAGAGAAGCCTGTAATTAGTGGTAATTGTTTAGTGAATAAATACGAGTCTCGAAATTTCTATGGTTATATTCACAAATTGCATAATTTGTGAATATAAACATAGAAATTACGAAAAAAGAAAATAGTGTTTTAATTAAAAAATTGCGTGATCAAAAAAATTGTGAAAATTCGAAATTTAATAGAAATTTTCATAATTAAAAATGTTTGTTCTTCACTATTCTACATCAATACTTTTAATATAAATTGCACTTTAGTTTGGTAAGTATAATTTTAGTAACAGAAGAGCCCCTTGTGAAATAGTTCGTCCAGGGAAGTACTGCCATTTTCCTTATTTCTGCCGCCAAAGTCCTGGTAAAATATCAGGCACATGGAACTTGTTAACTTATGTCTCAGAGTGACAGGCGCACTGTCGTATATTAACTAAAACGTGGCTAAGTAACAAGTGATTAAACATCCGTTTTAAATAGCATAAGGTAGAGCTCAAAATTCTCTATTTAGAAACAGTTAAAATAAACGAGTCGGACATATCAGAACTTACCCTAATTATATACATAGCTAAAGTATCATTAAACAATTTCAATATTCTAAGACTAGGTTATGGTCTTTTGATATCTCAAAAATTCTTGTGTCACATAGCCGCGTTTTGTGTGGTAGTGTCCTTCAGATCTATGCGCTTTAAAGCTCTGAGTGGCACAGCAATTTCTGTTGCCTATAGAAATAGCCTAACTTAGCACCAGGCACCCGAATTGTTCGTCCCGTCCATTGACTTACAATTATATGGACGTCGGGTCCGAGCTAAAAAGTGTCCGAACTTATAGGGCGTTAAAATCGTCAGACAGACAGAGCGTCATTCACGCTTTAGTCTTCGTTTCTTCGACTGACTGCGAAGCAAGCAAAATTAGACAGTACTGCGATGACATTACAATTTAAATTCAACGTTTTAGCTTTTTCATATTCCTTTACATGTCGCTACGTTTAAATAGGTTGACTTGGGACATTTTTTTCGTGGTTTTTGGATTAGACCCGTCGTCCATTTATTTGTAAGTCAATGGTCCCGTCACTTGGATCCAAGAAAAAACAATTGGTAGGTATATAGTCTATA